GATGTTTCAGAGCCTCCCTGGTAGAGGGCACATCAAATGAAGACTTGTCCCATTTTTGAGAGAATTCCCTAGCGTAACAAGTTTATTAGAAGAAAATTCACTGGTGATATATGTAGACAAATGTTTTGTTTTTACTTTTGGCCTATACAATGGTGAGTGCTTGCTTGCATACAGCCTCTTATCTTATTTCAATGTTCCTAATCCCCCCGTCTGTTTTCTCCCAACTGGCAGCACGGAGGCTGGTCCTCCTCTCTTCATATGCTTGTCATTCCCCCTCTTCCCTGCCAACCAGCACCCACGGGCCCATACTGGTGTTTAAAAATAGCTGTGTTGCTTAGAAGGTAAAAAGAAGAAAAATGTTAACATAAAAGTCAAGATTAATGACACTTAAGGGACAAAAGATTACCTTTGTTCATGATGAGTTAGAAAGATTGTTTTGATGGTAATCTATTTAGTGGTTTAAAGGAGATGCAAGGAGGCATTAAGCCCAGAAAGAATGGCCAAAATTTCAGAAAAGGGATATCTGTGGAAATTAGGAGAAATAAGAGAACGTAATGACTCATTGACAAGAAAAGAAGAAAGTGGATATGATAAGGAATATGGGTTAATCCTATGGTGATTAACAAACATAATTGCACTTTAGTTATTACAAACGTTGACTCTTGATTCCTCATTTAGAAGATTATATTGATTAACTATTGATTTTTAATATGTTTTAAGTGCAAAAAATGGAAAACAAACTTAAGAATTACAACCTGTCAGGGGCGCCTGGGTGGTGCAGTCGGTTAAGCGTCCGACTTCAGCCAGGTCATGATCTCACGGTCTGTGAGTTCGAGCCCCGCGTCAGGCTCTGGGCTGATGGCTCAGAGCCTGGAGCCTGTTTCTGATTCTGTGTCTCCCTCTCTCTCTGCCTCTCCCCCATTCATGCTCTGTCTCTCTCTGTCCCAAAAAATAAATAAACGTTGAAAAAAAAATTAAAAAAAAAAAAGAATTACAACCTGTCATAAATGAACCTTGTTTCTTAATTTTATGATTTTTTAAAATTTATAAATATATATACATTCAAAAGAAAATGGGAACTATTTATCATAAATTATTTCTAATCACAATTTTCGGTTATTTTTACCATTATTTACCTTACCTTTTCCTACTTGGGAAGTTATCTACTTTTGTATTAATATTGCCATTCATTTTCACCTCTATCTATTGCTCTGCGGTCCAGTGTTTGCACCTGACAATGAAGTAGCCACAGAAAGACCAGCATGCATATTCCAGAGAAAGTGGAATGTCAGCAGCTGACAAAACAAAATAACAGTTTAATGTGGACAGAGCCAGGATTCAATGTAACGTGCGGTAGCAAAGTTGAAAGTTCAACTCAAACTGGAGAGCAAACACTCTAGCCTACGTGTGGTGCTTCGTTGTTTTGGGTTTTTTGTGGGTTTTGTTTTGTTTTGTTTTTTTCGATGAAAAGAGAAGCCATCTTGGTCGTTGTTGAAGTATTGTCTTTTGGGGAAATGGAATGATTATTTGCTTTATAGAAGATACGCTTTAGCAAGAGTCTTATCTTAAGTTATTACAGAGTCGATCATTATGTGAGAGGCAGGAAAAGAGAGCCTTAAAAATTGGAACTAGTATTTACGACATGTGAATTTAAACACAAAGACTTTCATAAACTTTCAATTACAGGTATCACTTTGGATACAGTGACATGAGTAAATATAAATGTCTTTCTACATGGGAACTTATTTTGTTTTACCAAACTGTTTTCCTAACTTTTTGTGGATTAATTGTTAAAATTTGGGTTAGTTTTTTCTCCGTTAGCATACTGGCAAGTGCCCTCCAAAGCTTGAAATTCTTACCCCAATGATTTCCTTGGTCCATTGTTAACCAAGTGGCAGTGAACTCGCTCTCTACTCCCTGTGCCTAGGAAGAGAGGCAGTTCAGGTGGATGGTTCCCTTTGAAAAAAAATAGGTGGAAAGATTCTAAAAAGTGCACGCCACGGTCACTTTGGTGATCCTCACTTTTTGAATCCAAGAAAGGCTAATGATAACAAATACTTCTCATTGTTTTTGTTAAATTGGTGCTGTTGTACCTTAAGATTTCGGTTTTGTCCAGCTCTCTGTCGCATGGGCCTTGGGAAGACTGAGTCACAATGTTGGTAGCGGTAGTTGGTGGTTTCATCTAGGGGGTTTGAGATACTGTGTAGACAACAAAGGGAACATTTGTTTGGGTAGTTCTCAGACCACTTCAAAGGCTCCAAAGAAAGGAAACTAATTTTCTCATCAGCATCATAGATTGCTACAAGAAAATAAAGCAGCGTTTTCAAAAGGAAAAACATTTCTGCGGGGCGCCTGGGTGGCTCAGTCGGTTAAGCATCCGACTTCGGCTCAGGTCACGATCTCGCGGTCCGTGAGTTCGAGCCCCACGTCGGGCTCTGTGCTGACGGCTCAGAGCCTGGAGCCTGCCTCAGATTCTGTGTCTCCCTCTCTCTCTGACCCTCCCCCGTTCATGCTCTGTCTCTCTCTGTCTCAAAAATAAATAAACGTTAAAAAAAAATTTTTTTTTTTTAAAAAAAGGAAAAACATTTCTGAATCCTAATTCTTATGTGCAACTAAAGTCTCAACTGAGTATGTAAGAAATATAAAGATCTTTTTGAACGTGTAGAAACTCAAAAAATTTACCCTACGTGGAACCCGTGTAAAAAAATTACTCAAGAAATACTCCAACCAAACACAGAAAGAATCCAATATGCAGGATGATATGGACACAGGAGAAGGAGAAAGTAAGTGTGACTCAGAGGGAAGGTGAGCTAGAAAAATGAAAAGTTGTAGCATTAAACTAGCACTTGGAAGCACCTCATTCAGGGGCACCTGAGTGGCTCAGTCAGTTAAGTGTCTGACTCTTGATTTTGGCTCAGGTCATGATCTTACAGTTCATGGATTTGAGCCCCATCTTGGGCAGTGCTTAGTCTGCTTGGGATTCCCTCTCTCTCTCTCTCTCTCTGGCCCTCCCTTTCCCTCTCTCCCCTCCCTTTGCCCCTTCCCTGTTCGTGCTCTCTCCCTCTCGCTCTCTCTCAAAAATAAATAAATAAACTTTCAAAAAGGAAGGTCCTCCTCTCAGTGGCAAAGCTTAGTAACAGGTTTACATTTCCTTCCCTAAGGAGCCAATGACACTACTTGGCCCTGTAGTAAATAATATTTGCAAAACCACATTATACTTTTTAGAATCAGTGTGTAGATAAAGTGTAGGACACCCCATCATAGTTCGAGAACAATCCCATAGACATTGACAGTGTAAAAATAACATCCCTTCCAAAAATTGGGAAGTTGAGAGAGTGAAGGGTATTGGGGGGAAAAAAAAAGACTAAACAAATTTCCCATCTTTCATACCAGGGAGTTGGTAAATCACCATATAGAAGTTTCCATATATCGAAATGATAATAAAGGCCACTATGGTAAAAGCTAAACCCTTGCAAAATTTTAAAACCTTGTGAAGGAGAGAAGGTGGAAAGTAATGTGAATGCTTTAAATTCTTAACCTTTATTTGTGGAGAAGCCCAAATCAATAAAGGCTATTCTTTATTTTATAATAATGTTGAGAAAAACTAAATACAGAATGAATGAACAAAACCCTTAGCTTCTGAGAAGTGAGAGTTTCAGGTTCATGTATGCTATTCGTAGTTCATTTAAAGAATATGTGCATGCATTATCTATTGATAAAAAATCTAAGGTAACAGGAATGAAAAGATCAATAGGTTAGTATATAGAAATAAATAGTAACATATGTGAAGTGCCTGGCACGTAGTAGGCACTCAGTAAGTGATAGCTTTTATGGCTGTTATTACAAATTTTGTTATTCTTACCTGTGGCAGCTGATGTCAGCTGGGTTCTCTCTGCTCCTTCAGATAGAGGCAAAATTGGTTCAAACCATATTCTTTCTGGGCTTTGTGGCAGCCTAGAGCGTGTCCTGCGTTTCCTGCAGATGCCCGGGCATATTCTACGGTTGTCGCTCTGCCCGGCTCCCTCTTCCTTTGAACTAAGTCAGTCTCCGAGTTTCATGGTGCCCCGTTTGCCATCCCAGCTTCCATTTTGTTTAATCCGACGCGAAATTCAATCCAATTCTGCGACTCCTACTAAAATGGCCCACTCACGTGACACCTTTGTCTATGTAAATTTCAGGAGGCTGAGGAGGCATCCCCAAGGTGCCGTTTCAAATTGAATAGTGGACACCACCCCTGGACACTGGTCACCTGTGGCTTCACCACACCCCATAAGACCTCTAGGCTCGTGGTCTTGCCTGGCCATTTTCTTTCTGTCTCTTCCCAGCCCGCCCTTCTGATTACCCACGGGGAGCTCTAGCTTCCTTTTACTTTATTCCGCAGAACTCTCTAGCTGCTCTTCCCAGACCCGGCTCCAGACCCTCCTGGGTAGAGCCTGCCTCACCAAGATGGGCAACAGATTTGGGGCCTTTGGGGTCACAGAACCCACCAGAAAGGTAGTGGTAGTAATAAGGAACACCTTTTTCTGTCTTTCGTGTAGGAACATAGAGATAACTAACCAAGCAGATTTTTACCTCCAGTCTGTTTTCTCACTGTCGTCGACTCTTGTCATCATCGGAGAGATACGGCAGTGAAAAGTCATCAGAGTTATCATTTAAAATAAAGTTTTCTTAAGCTTGTGACTTCACTGGGTAATAGCTGCCCACTTTGTTAAAAAAAAAAAAAAAAGTATAATGGTAAAATATGACCCAACACATAAATGCAGAGTAATGCACTTAAGTTGGTTTTAATGGGCTGTGACTGTCCAATTGCAAACACACTGTATAAAAACACTGGGCTTTGTACATTAGAGAAGGCAGAAAAGATCCCTGTGAGACTATGGCTGGCACATTTTAAAGCTCAGTCGCCTTTCTCTAAGCTGCAGAGAAACCGCATCTCTATGCACGGATTTGAAATGTTACATTTCATGCAAATATATTTCATACATTTATTTTCATGCCAGGTAAGATCTCCGAAACCAGTCGGAGTGCACGAAGAAAAGAAGGGGAGATTACCAGTGGCTAAGGTAGAATAATAACTAATATGACCATTATTATTAACATACTTATTCTTTATGTTGATGCTGGCCCTTCTTAAAAAGTAGCAATGACTTTGAAGGCTACACTGAGAGTCCATCACCATGAAGAGACAGAGGACATGATTCCCACTATAGTCTGATTCTGGGGTACATCCGGGCTGGACCCAAAGAAATCACTCTCATTCATATGCCTACCATTCCACTGTTAGAGATTCATTCCTTTTACCAAACTTTGTCCCCTTGTAAAATATAAACAATACTGAGAAATGGATGACACAAAGCTCTAACATGATTGATTTGGTCAGATCTTTCCTGAGAACAGTTTTGGTAAAAAAAAAAAAAAAAAAGGAACTAGAGTAACTAGAGAAGCTCCTGCTTATAATGAACTAGAGAGGTCATAGGAAGGATTTAGGAAAAGGGATACCCAGGATCGGCAGGGGGAGGGTGATGAAAATAAGTTTTGATTCCTTTGTAATATTATCTAGAGCTGGCTGCCTTTAAACGAATCACTTACAGGACATGGAAGCATGGGATCTTAAATTCTTGAAATTGATGGGGATTTGCAAGTAAATGTAACTCAGATTATTTTTGGTAGGGGCGCCTGGGTGGCTCAGGTGGTTAAGCGTCCATCTTCAGCTCAGGTCATGGTCTCATGGTTCATGAGTTCAAGCCCCACGTCGGGCTCTGTGCTGACAGCTCAGAGCCTGGAGCCCACTTCGGATTCTGTGTCTCCCTCTCCCTCTCCTGCATGTGCTTTGTCTCTCTCTCTCTCTCTCTCTCTCTCTCTCTCTCAGGACTAAATAAAACACTAAAAAATTTTTAAAAATTAGTTTTGATAGTAGGTAGAATATGCATGCGATTTAACAGATACAGCTTTTCAGACTTATGAAGACACAGTATACTGTGCACATAATTCACTTTGTGATGTGTTTTCTATTGAAAGATGGAAGACAAACATGATTTGGAAGAGCAAATACGAGTGCTAAGGGCAAATTTAGAAAATGAGAAAAGGAAGATAGAAAGGTACTAGTAATAACGTTCCTTTGTTGCTAATAGTTGTTCATTTGTAGTTAATAAAACATTTAACCATCTATAAATTTATTACAGATTCAAGAAAGAATCTGAATGGATAAACAAAAACTGGGAAAAGAAATTCTATATTCTCAGAAACAGGTATGTGGTGATATATACATATTCTATTTATAAAAATGTGACTAATCATCTTTTAAGGGAATTGGGAGCCTTGCATTTCTCTGTACATATTAATTAATATAAAATGCCAGCATACACTTTTAACAAGAAATACAAACTAATTGGCTTATAATAGAAGAGTTGTTGAAGTCACTTCAAAGAAAAACTAATTCAAGACTCTGTTTTCAGTCCCTATCTCCATATTTCAACTTTTTTAAAGATTTATTCTTTTTTTAAAAAAATTTTTTAATGTTTATTTATTTTTGAGAGAGAGAGAAAGACAGGGTATGAGCCAAGAAGGGGCTGAGAGAGAGAGGGAGACATGGAATCTGAAGCAGCCTCCAGCTTCTGAGCTGTCAGCACAGAGCTGGATGCAGGGCTCGAACCCACGAACTGTGAGGTCATGACTTGAGCGGAAGTCTGGCACTTAACCGACTGAGCCACCCAGGTGCCCCAACTCACATAGTCGTTTTAATTTATCTTCCCGATGTCATCTCTGACTTTTTGAAAGTGTAAAATTCTGGAGAACACTATACAATTCTGGAAAGGCTAAAAGCAGCACCAAGTAAATGCCTATTTATTTTCTCCCTAGTCCTAGCATGTTAATTTAACACATCTATATTCGATCCTCTTGTTTTCTGCCATAATGTCCCCCAGAGTGTCTTCTTTATTGCATGTTGAAAGTTCCTTTGCAAGATTTTCTCACAGTCAAGCAGCATTCAAGACAGGATCGACTGAGTGTTGGTCTGGTGTCATAGGTCAAGCGTGAGAGTCACCTGACGTCATAGGATGATAATGCCCTACAATTGTACAGCGTTTCGTAAGCATACACTATTATTGTGTGTGTGTGTGAGAGAGAGGGAAAAAACCATAAAATTCTATACATAGCTGTGTTCATTACACTGAACTAGTCCCAGGCGGTACACTGATAATCCACGTGATAGCAGAAATATCATCAGATGTGACAGAATGATCTCCTCCTTGTAGTAAAACGTTCTGCTTTGTGCTCCTGCTTGTGCTTCGAGTTTGCGCCAATGACACTTTGTGCCCTGAAAAATGTGCACATTAATACTTGCCCCAACCACCTCATACAGTCATTATAAGGATAGAATATAGACCCTGGTGAAACACAAGACTGAGAACAAAGGCAACTTGAATATGCACTTCATTTCATTTCCCCAAACATGGATTTTGGAGTCTCTCTGAAACTGAGTAGACTCTCTTCCCCTTACTTATTTCTGTGGGGTTCACGTTCATCCTTAATATTTACCTTATATCTGTCCCAATGGGATTCATCCTATGTTTCAAAGACCATTTACAAGAATGTCTCAGGTTTACTTCAAGTTGATTTGCTGTTAGGATGTTGACAATCATATTCATCATTTTGGTCTGTGCAGACCCTATGTTGATATCTAAATATCGTGAAGAGCAAGAAGTCTGGTTGCATAGTTTCTATGTTTTCTCATTTAGTCGACTAACTGGGACGTGATGTTGGGATCTAATGCATTGTGTCTCTGGTGTGGTTGCATCACCAAGTGTTCGTTCAAGGTGATATATAACATAGAGAGTGTATATATCCCAGGCACTGCATCATGGTGTGGGATGGAGATTAACGGTGCAGTCGCAGATTTGCATCGCTAGAATGGTCATTTCACTTCATCTAACAGAGTTCAGATTGGGAGCCATCATTTTGTTTAGTAGAGGAAAAACTTCACCTTGGCCATCCAAAGTAACGGTCGAATCCAACAATTTCTCAGCCGATTCATGATTTATATTCGGCTCCGGTCCAATTCAGAGCTTTCTCTCCAAGCTCCTTTTCTGTCTCTGCCGAGTTGGCTCTATTTCCAGGAAAATGGAAACTAAGCGGTGATGACAAGGACAGGGGCTCGTCCTTTCTCTTAGCGTGGCATGCCTGGTACAGCGGCTGATGCCATCAGTGTCGCTTCTCTCGACACAGATGGCGTGCAGGTGTGGCACATGGGCCCGAGAATAGATCCCCCTCTTCCTGGTGCCACAGCGATGCCGCCTCTCCCGCCTCAACCCCAGACACCCATCCGAACCGTCCCCCTGATCTGCCTGCTGAGCTCCTGGGGGTGGCTAGACCCACTGATGCGCATCACACTTCCCAGGTCACAGACAACTTGCACACACGCTGCTCCCCCATCACTGTCGAGTGCGCACGTCTAAGAGGTGGACGTACGCACCCCTTCCCTCGCCCCTCCTCTCCGCATGCGCAGAAGCACCAGCGTAGCATCAGGGAGATTGCCCCCCCCCCCCCCCCCCCCCCCCCCCCCCCCCCGCAGAACTGAAGGTAGGAAGTGTCCGGTCCAGCTCGCTGGGCTCTGTGTTCCCTCCTTCTTCCCCTCCCTTTGAACCCGTTATAAACCCCTTCGTTCTTGGATGTGGGGGGCAGGGGAGGTTAGGTAACCAGAAACTCTATACTCCTCCCTGCCTCTTCTCTCTCCACTTCTCTCCCTGCTCGGGTGTCGAGCTTGCCCCTGATGTCACGGGAGGCGTAGCACTTTCCCCGGTACACCTGCCGTCCCCGGTTTCGTTAGTTTCACCCCTGACAGGCCGAGACTCTTGTATCTTTGTTCTCAGTTCACATCAGGGTGTGGTCCGGAGGTGGGGGGAGGTGGGAAAGAAGATGCAGCCCTTGATAGCTTGTTGTCTCTCATTGCCACGGGTACACCCGCAAAACATTCATTTTCAGTTGTCTATGAAATTCAGATTTCACAACAACTGCCAAAGCCAAATCGGAATAAATCTGGAGTCTTGGGCATTCCGTGGTTTTTCTGAGTCTTGCCCCTTCTTCTTAATTCAGCTGCCTGAAGCCTTCTCAGAAGCTAGACCCTGGACAGGTGAGGGGAGGGTGTGGGGTTGACTCATGAAGTTCCCAGTGTTGGGCTCATGGTGATACAAGACACAGTTTGCCAGGGTGGGAAGTGAGGGGAATTGGAATCCAGAGTCGAGCAGACATGGGTGCCGATGGCAGCTTTATTTATAACTGCCAAAACTTGGAAGCAACCAAGATGTCTTTTATGCAGAAAATGGAATATTATTCAGCAGTGAAATGAAATGAGCTATCAGACCATGATAAGGTATGGAGGAACCTGAAATTTTCACATATTACTAATTGAAGAAAAGCCCGTCCGAAAAGGCCATGATTCCATATGCCATTCTGGAAAAGGTGAAAGTATGCAGACAGCGAAAGGACCAGTAGTTGCTAGGGGTTTGGGGCTAAGGGGAGATGAATCAGTGGAGCATAGAGGATTCGGGGGCAGTGACATTACCTTGTACGACACTGCAAAGGTAGATGCATGCCATTATACATTTGTTAAAACCCATAGAGGGGCGCCTGTGTGGCTCACTTGGTTAAGCATCCGACTCTTGATCTCAGCTCAGGTCTTGGTTTCAGGGTCGTGAGTTTAAGCCCCGAGTTAGCCTCAGTGCTGGGCATGAAGCCTACTTTAAAAAAAAAAAAAAAAAATGAATGTACGAGACCAAGCCTGAACCTTAATGTAAGCTATGCCCTCTGAATAATAACGGTGTATGAGCGTAGGTTCATTGATTGTAACAAATGGACCACTCGGTTGGTTGATAACCGTGGAGGAAGCCATCCATGTGTGGGGGCAGGAAGTATATGTGAAACCTCTGTACATCCTTCTCAATTTGCTGTGAATCTAAAACTCCTCTAAAAAATAAAATATATTAAAAAAAAAGAAAGAAAGAAAGAAAGAAAAGGGGGGGGGGAAGCTAAGCGGACAACCAAACGTAGATGTCGGTCTGAAGGTACTGTTCAGAGACACGGGATTCAGAATGAATAGTAACTGGGAGCTCTCCGGGACAGAGGTGTGGAGGTACATGATAGAGCATGGAGGGCGTTCCAGAATCTCTGAAGGGGTGTAGCAATCTTTTTTTCCCCCTGATTCTTGTGGTTTCCTAGGCTGAGTGTGGGGAGCAGGCTATTAAGACCATCAAACAAAACTCAACTTAGATCCGTCTGAATTTTCCAGCTTCTCTTTTGTAGCAAATGAAAGTTGGCTTCAATCTTGGAGTATATTTATCCATTCCTAAATATCTCAGCCCAAAGTCCTCTCCCCAGTTTAGCCAGCCTACTGTCCAGAACGGATACTTTTAGTTATTTGGAAATGGATCCTTTCTCCAGCAGTCATCTTCATCTAGCAAAGTTACATTGTGTGAAAGATCCAAACTGTCCTCTTTGCAAATGTATGTGCAACAAAATGATTCATCTCAAAGACGCCTGCCATGAAATTGTTAAACTGAATGAAATCTCAAGCTGATAGAGTCACCTGCGTATCTTCCGATTTTGTATCTAAAACAATGAAGTCATTCCTATGGTTTTATAAAATTGAAGATTATACTACACTATTCTTTTAGAATTCCATCCGTAGTGCCCTGTATATATCAGTGAGCCCATTTTTTCTGACCACTGCATAATATTCCATAGTGTGTCTTTTTGAAAATTTAATTTTTTAAATTTTTTTCTGACCACTGCATAATATTCCATTATATGTCTTTTTTTAATATTTAATTTTAATTTTGTTTTTTTTTTAAGACAGAAAGAATGCAAGCAGGGGAGGGGGTAAAGGGAGAAGGGGGTAAGAGAGAGAGAGGGAGAGAGAGAGAGTCTTAAGCAGGCTCCATGCCCAGTGCAGAGACTGATGCGGGGCTGTATCCCATGACCCTGACACCACGACCTGAGCCAAAATCAAGAGTTGGACGCTTCACCGACAGCCACCCAGACGCTCCCATAGAATGCCTTTACCTAGTGTCACTAATCTACTCCATTTTTGGTGGTCAGTCCGGTTTTCGCCAGCTCCTCTGAAGGCTTGCCAGGATTTCCTTTGGTACATATGGAGTAAGGTGGTTGAGTTCTGTTACGATGACCACGCTTCTTGATTTGCCTGGGCTGATTCTGGTTTAAGCTGGTTGCCTAATATAATGATCAATAGCATTTC